GAATGGGTTAGACAATTAAAGGACTATTTTGAATCACGTGATATTCCTAAGTCCCGCCAGTTTAGCATTACTAAGTCTCACCTGAACAGTGGTGCTCGTCAATTTTGGATGAGGCTGGAAGATCATAAAGAGTCTCGTAGCGAATCCCTACTTCCGATTGGAAAAGAATGAGACGAGAACTTTGATTAAAATATATTTCCCTTACTTATGACCACTCATCCTTTAGTAACATCAGGGTTGCTACCCCACCTTGTAGGTCTTCACCTAGCCTTGATGGCTGACTCTCTATTGGGTCTTCTGCTGGATCGGTCTCATATGACTCCCCACTTGGGCTGACTCCTAGCCATCGCAGTCAACCTTGTCTGAACATGCGTCCTCTCTACGTGGTGGGTCTTGATTCACCTCGCCGCATGAGTAACTTTACCACCTTTAAAATCAATAAGAATTCTAAGTCTATCCAACCTTTGGTATCCCCAATCCTTGACCCTGCAAGTGTATTGTGCCCAAGAGAATCACTGTAAAGGATAAACTCCCTAAACTTGAGACTGAGTGCATCCATTTTGTGGATACTAATGATATCACTGGCAACGAGGAATTCTTTGAGGATGAAACTGAAGTGATTGAATTTGATTTTAATCTCATCAATGATATCCCGTTGGATAAGGTCTGTCTGGATGATATTAATTTGATATCAAAAGAAGCTGATTTGACCTGGAATACATTGAAATTAAATTCAGAAGATTGTGATTTAATCGTATCTCCTACTGAGATAACTCCGAATGATTTTGATTCAATTTCGGATGATTCTGATGGCGACGTGGATAATCTCGAGTTGGAATTGATTCAATTGAATTTACTATCTAAATTAAACCCCGATTTAATTGACCCCGAATCCATTGATCTTAGGTTTATAACCAAATTTGATTCTATTGAGGATAATAATATGAGTTTGAAAGACAATAATTTGAGTCTAAAAGTTTATGAGCCTAATTTGACGAATGAGCCTCCTCTTGTTTTATTGGAGTCTATTTTAGGAGTTGCTCTTCTAGATGTACATTTGAACGAGTGTGACTTTCTTAATTGGACTTACCTTTCCCTTCTTCATACCGACATTAATATTAGAGAGATGTTAGCCCATACTCTCATGACATCTCTCTAACTGTTGTGCCCACATATGTTTTGGACACTCTATCCCATCTTTTGAGTCTCATACCTGCTGGTAACTCTTTGAGCTATCTCATTATGGTTGTGAGTCAAGACCTATCATCTTATCTTGTTCCTGATTCATTTGTTTTGCCCGCTATATTCTTGTCCTTCCCTGTTAAAGACCATCTCTCTCCTAGTTGGATGAATTTGTTAGATTACACTGCTGCCCCTAGGAGAGCACCTATGACCTTAGTTGAAACTCCCTATAGAAATGTCCTTGTAGCTAAGGATGTCTTCATTGCTCCTACACCAGTTCCGTTAAACATGAAAATTTTGTCTTCTCATTTTGTAACTGATCCATCTTTATGCTTATCTATGTGTGCTTGTTAGTTAGTATGTTTGTGTGTGATTTTGTAGTCTGTTGTTTTCCAAAGTTTTTCTCTGTTTTAAATTTGTGTGACTTCAATTCATTTCAATCAGCATGCATATCAAGTCACTTGCATCACATCATTCTGATATTTATCTTGTTGAGTCTAGAAATTTAGAAGCATGAATTTGCATAAAAACATGCTGCACATGCATTGCATCTACATGAAATACTTAAGAAAATTGCACGCCTAATTGGACAAGAACAATAATAATTATAGACTTCATGCTGAATTTAAACAATGATTTAAAGCTTTTGAGGTTGGTTATTCAGTCCAGCTACCTTGGCTCTCAAGCCGACAGCCTCCAGTCAAGGCCCAACGGCCGGCCCCAGCTCACCACCCCTCATTTTCCCCTACCTGACCACCACCTCAAGACCCGCCGGCCTCCCTTAGCCGTTTCTTCCCCTCCACCCGACCCAACTTCCCCATCTTAACTCCGCCCCCAATTCCATACCAAACTCCCCCCCAAGCTCCACAATCGGCCACATGCTTTCCCTCTCCTTGAATGATGAATTAACTCATCATTAATACTTGCCTAAAATAGCCTAAGTGATTTGGGAAATTAATCTCAACAGTTTGAAATTTAAATTTTGAATTTCAAATAGTTTCCTAAATTACAAAGCCATATTAGGCAAGTCTTGAATCTAATCCCAATTTTAATTTTAAATTGGGTTGGAATGATTTATCTCATCCCAAACTCCACTTACCTCCAAAACCCCTTCCTTCCTAATTTGGATTGTCTTTAATTTAGAAAGAAATTTAAATTCAAATTAATCAAGTTTGAGTTTCAAATCTTTCATAATTATTACACCATATTTGGAAAGCCTCTTCATTCAATCAATTAATCAATCCCGAAATTAATTGATTAATTGCTCCATAACTCACATACATTGAACTTGGACACCTTTCTCTCCCCTCTCTCATGGTCGGGCCCCTCCAATCTCTTTCCTATCTAATTAAAGCTCCCAATCAAGCCTCCAATCAACCCATTAATGCTCACTTAATCACCCAGCTCCTCCTCCTAATCTCCATTACTCCCAAATTCTGATTTGGATATTCATAAACGTTCAACCTAATTGCCCCTCCATAATTCCCTTCACGGTATCTTCAAAATGGCTGGTTTCCTGTTTACCGTATCTCAACTCTAGCAATTGTACATTGTTGTTTTGTACCCAGTGCATTCCCAAATTGAAGTCCAAAGCTTCCAACCTCAACATCAAACAACAGCAAGTCCAAGCTTTCCTGATTGCTATATAGTGCTGTCCAAAACTTTCTAAAGCAGTAAAACTGCTGACCAGCAGTCTTGGAGCTCTCCCTCTGCTGACCTACTGGCCACAAGTCCATGTTGTTGCCCAACAGCATCCAGAAGGCTCATAGTCGCTTTCTACTATCCTCAATCGCTCACTATGACCACACCGGAGCTTCTTACCTTCAACCTTAGGTAAACTCCTTTTCTCCAAGTCATATTTCTTCCTAGTTTACTCACCAATCGTGGTTATATTTTGATTCACAATAGATCATGCCAATTCTCCTTCGCTAAAACTTAGTAAGCTAGAGAGTTGAATGAGGAATCCTTGCATAGTAGCTAATCTTATTGTTAATCTAGGGATCTCTTGTTGAAAACCATCCATGAATGCAACGTTAGATTAATTGGTTGTTTTACGGTTTTAACTCCTATGCATGTGATTTAGCCTAAGCTTGTTTTACCGCTCTTTGTGTTTTATCCCATCGTTAAAATCGTTATAAAGATATAATTATTGTGGCTTCTAACATTAAGCGTGCAAATTTCTTATCTCTAAGGTGAATGCTCTTTGCTGGAAATATTTTTCTTGTTGATAAGACAAGAGAGAGTTGAAGATAAACTTGAACTATGGAGGTCAACCTTAGAGTCTAAAGGTTTTCGTTTGAGTAGATCTAAAACCAAATATATTGAGTGAAATTTTAGTGGTAATAAATCTAGTGTGGGGATTGTGACTTTGGGTGATCAAGTCATTAATAATAGTACAAATTTTAGATATCTTGGGTCAACTATTCAAAGTGATGGTGAAATAGATGGGGATATTATTAATAGAATTCAAGTTGAATGATTGAAGTGGAGGAATGCATCGGGCTTGTTGTGTGATAGAAAGGTCCCCTAAAACTTAAGAGAAAATTTATAAGATGGTGGTAAGACCTACAATGCTTTATTGTGCAGAACATTGGTCAATAAAAGAGAAGCATAATATTAAATTAAGTGTTACAAAGATGAGGATGCTCAGGTGGATGAGTGACTTTACTCTTATAGATAGAATAAGTAACAAGCATATGCGTGAAAAGATTAGAGTAGCTCTAGTGGAAGATAAGATTATAGAGTGCCGCCTTAGATGGTTTAGTCACATAAAACAATGGCCTTCCAATGACCCGTTTAGGAGAGTAGATGTATTAGATTTGGCTTATGTTAAGAAAGGTAAATGTAGACCTAAAAAGACTTGGTTATAAAATATTAGAAATGATATTTTTTTATTAGATTTAAAAGAGAATTTTGACTCTTAATAGGATACAAAGGAGAAAAATGATTCAGGAAGCCGACCCCATATAGTGGGATAAAAGCTTTATGTTGTTGCTGCAGTTGAACTTTAATTTCATCACGAGCAATAACACATTATGCGAGATAGGGCAATGGCCATAGGAGGTAAGGATCGCAGATGGAAAGCACCTTATACATGTGAGCACCTTACATGTGCAAACTTCAAGTTATGAGAAGCAAAAGCCTAACATGAGAGCCAAGGGTGGGAGAAATCCCTTCCCTTGGAACTCAAACAGTGGGTAAAGCCCTAGGGAGCGGATGACAAAATGAGCTTCAAAAGTCAAATCTATCAATCAGAAGGGGTGGCCAAGGAATGAATTAGCATTTAATTGTTTTAAGGATAAGCGACATGAAAGGTCTATGTTTTCTTGGTGAATATCAACAATTTCCCTACAAATTTACTTTGCCCAATTTTCAATTAATTTCATGGATGCTTGAAAAGAAACTCAAATGTTCTAGATGCACCTCCTCCTCCCTTTCAAAACTTGCCAAACGGAAAAAAAAAAAGAAAGAAGAAAAAGATCATGTCAATACCTAAATATATCCAATTCTTCATCTCTTTAGATTTACATGTACTAGATGTACAATAAACCTGTGCTATATTAATCATCCTTTTTTCTTTTTCTTTTCATAGTAATCATCTGTAAGCATTCCAGTCAACAGTCTAACTATGCCTACACAACACTATCTAAAAATCATGTTTAGAGTATACAATGCCCAAGTTACTTTTCAAGAGGCAAACTGAAATTAGAAAAAGATCAAAAAATACATGAAACTCCGGCCATGAAGGGTCGAGGAGGAAAAGTAAAGGAGTCAATAGTTTATCGGAAAAGAAATAAGTTAATTAGAGAAAATAATACCTTGTGGCTGCCACTAGTTGCAAAAAACTTTTGAACCTGAAAACATAGAATATTTGAACGTGATTCACAGTTTTCAAAAGGTAAAAATACAGTATTTTCACCGAAGAGCCAATCCTACAGATGCATTGAATAGTATAAAATATAACTGAGCATGAAGTAGACAGCATTTAATAAATTACAATCAGGGAACAAAAACTGCAAAAAAATACCAATGACCTCACCCTATACAGGAAAACAATGCTAAACTTCGTCCTAGAAATGACAACACTCCTTAACATCTACTTGAACTATATTATCATAGCCTATCCATATCTCACAAATCTCACGCTAAATGTGATGAATGTGATAGGCAGGGCACGCAGTAGATTCTTTCATGTTCTGGGCCTACACTAGCGCATTTATAAAGCAAGAATAGAGCAGGATCATACAAATAGATAAGGATACATTTTATATACCAATTCCCATCAATAATTACTATCCATATACTATAAGCTATATTAACTACTAAGGCCTCGTTTGATTAGGCTTTTTTTCTCCGTTTCCGTTTGAATAAGCCGAAATCAATTAGTATTTACTGTTTGGAATCAAAGCTTAACAATAATTCCTTTTTAATAAACATCGTTTTTTCGGCGGTTACAAAATTCTTTTCGTATCTGCTTCTTCGGTCACAAAACGGAGTTTCGGTCACAAAATGTCTTTTATAATAAAATCTCAAAAGCAGAACTCCTAAACAAACAATTTAAAATTATTTTCAAGTATTAATAAGCACTTTCAAAAATATTAGTCAAACATATCTCATTATTGAAACTCCATTTTATTGAAGGGCTTTTTCTCAACCTCCTTTTCTAAAACTCCTTTTTATGTAAGCATAAACCGAATCAAACGAAGCCTAAGTATATTATAATAAAATATAACATAATAATTTGAACATTCTAAGTAATTTAAGGCATCCAATTCAAACGCCTTGAGGCATAAAGCTTTGAGGCATAAACCTCATTTGGGGCTAAGAGGAGTAAGACTCAAGGTATTTTTTTGAGTGCCTAATAGTGAGGTGCACCTCGAGGCATACAGCTCAACTGCTTTTTTTAACCAATGATGAAAATAGGAGTGATGATTTTTTATAATATTATGCCCTTATCTAAGTCCAGGATGATATGATCATTCAATCAACCATAATGTCTTTCATAATTACTAGATTAATATAGGCATAATTGTGCTGCATCGTCCAGAATGATATCCTGGACGATGTTCAAAAATAAAAGCTACCAAAATAGATATTACGGTTGATTCTTTCTGATTTGATCCTATCATCTCGGCAGATACGAATATCGTCCAGGACGATATGCTTAATTACGGCTGCCTTAACTAGGATGTCCTGATTAGGGTTTCTATTTTTAACTGATCATCCAGGACAATTTATGGATCGTCCTGGACGATGTGACCAAAAATAATAAACTTTAAAAACAGTCAGAAATTTTCTCCCAAGTGTGTGTGCAATGTTACTTAGCATCAGGAATAACTTTGTTTACAATTAACTCAAAAAAAGGAAAAGATTACAAACTGACTTAGACCTAGTCTACCCAATCTTGAGCTGGTTCAAATTACAGTTTTGATCTTGTGGACCTAAAAAGTTAGTAGGCAAGGCAGTCGTAGAGAAATATAAGTGTTTGTTATCATCAGAATTTTATTCATTCATATCATATTTGTAATAATCTCCCCCTTTTTATGCTGGCAAAAATTACAGTTTCATTGCTTTCCTGCTATTATTTATTTGCTTATGGAGTTGTGCAACACCCTTTTCATGTTTATTTGCAAAAGTAGAGCTTGGAAAGTCAAGACGATCAGTAAAATAAATTAGCGAAGGAGCATTATTCTAATGCTAGGTAGTCAAAACAATAGTTTTACTTTAAATTGATTATAATAAAATGTGAGGTTTTTTCTAGACTTTGTCCTATTAGGACTATTTTTTAAGGCTACATATGGCAATAGAAAAAAAACTCAAAATACTCTCCCGACTATTTGAATCCAGCCAATTGAATATATGAATATCACATTGCTCCAATTAAGTCCCAAATGAACGCTTAAGTAATTATTGATGGGAATTGGTATATAAAATGTATCCTTATCTAGCTATTGAGGTACCATTTGGAATCAATTTTATATAGTTGTGGAATAAAATTGCAAAAATTTAACACTTGGGACTATATTTGTCACATAAAAATAATTGGGGGACTACTTTGAGCATTTCCTTATTGCTATATTTAAGTTAACACCTTCGTTATGATATGTAACTATATTTAGTTTCTCAAAATGAATTTGATTTCTATATTTTAATGAGGTATTAGCCGCTCTGAATTAGGTTGCTTAAAAATTTGATTTTCTTTACCATGCAATTTAATGTAATCCTTCAGATAAAATTGAATCAAACCACGGGGCCTGGCCCAGTTTGAATGAATCCACTAGTATTTGCAGTCAATTACAAATGACGCCCTTCTTAGGGAAAAGGCCTTGGATTGATGTTACAAATGTACATCATATAGAGTGCATTACATGGTGGGAGTTATAATAATCAACATAGACATGTTTGTTTGGTTGGAAGGGCCATTGTAGGTGATGGAGGTCCGAAGGACCGTAGTCAGCAAGAGACAGAGGTCTGAAAGGATTTAAAAATCTCCGCTCTACCAAAATGTCATTCACTAAAAATGATCTTATCAAAATCATTATGTTGTCAAGCATCATGATCATCTATGTCTTAACTAATAGGAGGGATAGAAGAAACTTCTACAACAAAGAGAAATTTCCTAAAGGACTAGCCGGAGCAGGCACAATCCTCAACATTCAAAGAAAGCCATTAAGTTCCAACTTCAGAGTGCAAATATGAATTGATGATATAGAAGTAGCAACTATTATAAGAATATGAAATGTCTAAACATTTGAATGCCTCTCTTGCACTTAAATGTTTGATTTCCACATCCAAATGAGCTTTGTAATAATAATAAAAAAAATGTACCCAAAGACATTATAGAAAGAACAATATAAGGGATGCCTTCAAATACTAACTTCTGCCAATATCTACAAAAAACTGAGCCAATTCACACCTTTTCCAATGGCAATGTAACATTAATTTCAACCAAACTTCAAACCATAGAAAGCCACAAAAGACATGCAGTAGCAGCATGCACCTACGAGTTTACCAAATATATTACCCAAGGAGCATAAAATGGAATGGTTAAAGAAATTTGATTGAAGCTCAGGTTTACCAATGATGGAGAAGCTTAGTCAAGTTGGTTTGAATAAGAGCTTTGAATAGGTTTTGATAATCGACCTATCTCACATTAAAAGTGGATCGAATCTTTATTGAATGATAAAGGAAAAATCTTGTCAATAAACACAAATTTTGGATGGCCTAATCAGTAGTGTCTCAACATGATGACATTGCCAAGATTGATGCTAGTGGATAGAGCAACACAACCATTTAGAGTGTTTTCCAAGATTACGCATCTTAGCATCTAGCTTGAGATATTCCTCCTTTCTAATGGTTTCTAAGGGCGGAGTCACCTTCTTTTTCAAAGAGCTCTTAAGGAAAGAGAAAACTAAAGACGAGGTCGTCAATCATCTTCTAACCTAAATCAGATTCATGAAGATGATTACGCTTTAGGTTTAGAATTTAATGATAGAAAATGGATGCTAAACTCAATGCCATACACTTTTAAAAGAGACCCTGTATAATGTAAATAGTGAGGTACTACTAACAGAGGTTGTATTAGTGAAATATAAAAGCATCCCCAATCATATGGTCAGTTACACTTAGAGCCCATAATCCAAGGACTACACTTTCCATATAACACTTAAGAATTTAGAAGATTGTGTGACAACCGGTTCATCCGAACAGTTCACTTCAACCGGAGTGAACCGGCTGGCTCCCCCTATTACTATCCGCGAACAGGGATATCACGAAAAAGAAGGGGCGAACGGGCGGAACAGGGGCGGACAGCCGAACTCGTGTGAAAAGGTTTGGGAAAGATTTGTTTCGCCATTTTTAGCAAACGATGGTATTCAGAGATAAGAATCATCAACTCCTTTTCTTTCATCTCGCTAACGAAGAGATAATTTGGAAGAAATTTCAAAGAACGAGAGAAACGACCGATGGAAAGAGGGAAGAAGGTTTGTTGAATTTTTCTTTCCATTTTTTCTTATAAATTTCGTCGTTTACTTCATTAAAGCAAATGATATTTTCATAAAGGGAAATTGAAGAGATTTGGAATCGAGGAGAAGAGATATTGAGAGAAAGAAAAAGATTTTGGGATTTGAAAATCCCCTTGTTGTAAATAAAATTCCTATCATATAAAATTTTCTTAGATTTATTATTAAAGCATTTTTTCATGAAAAAAAAAATATTTTTTAATTTTAAGAATTTTAGAAGGAAAGAAAGCAAGTGTAAGAGTTGGGTTCTTTAAGAATTTAACAAGAAAGGAAATCTTGTGAGGTAAGTTTTATAGAAGAAATCAAATGTCTATTAATATATTTAATTAATATTTAATATTAAATAAATTGTTATATTCTTATGAACAGTTAAAGACTTTCAAAACTGGATGATTATTGGAAGAGGAAAATAAAATAGGTAATTATAGTTATTTGAAATTTCATTATTTCATTTTCATTTTCATATTGAAAAAAAGATTTATATGATTGCTTTGCTTATTTTGAGGCTATTATGAATAAAGTTATGTAAACTTCAAATGCATATAAGATAGTATACATAAATTATCATGATAAAAGTATGTAGATATGGCATGAATATGTGAAAATAGGTAAAGGAAATAGAAAGAAAAATTTGAAAAAAGTTATACATATATATGCTATTTATATGTATTTAAAAAGTATACATAGATAAATGATATATGAATGAATGAATGAAAGATGAATGAAAAAGGGAAAAGGATATGCATGCAAGCTTATAGTAATTCACCCCCGTATGGTACTGGCTGGGGAAGCAACGTACCAGTGCATGTAAAAAAGGAAAAGATTACGGAAAA